GGGGTTGTTGTGACCCAAGTGCAGGACCTGAGGCATACTCCTACTGCTTTTGATAAATGTTTTTGAGATTGATTTTTTTTTTTTTTAAAGGATGGGAGTTAGGAAGAGGTAGGAAGTCACGTAAGATATTTTCGTATGCATATGTATGGATAGTTAGATAAAATCCTGTTCACACAGAGTAGTAGCTCTCATCGATGCATACTGTGCTTTGCTTCTATCACAGACCCTAGAAGGATTTTCCTATTCTTTAGGTGCAGCTAACTGAAAACCAGACTGTTACAAAACTACAAATGGCTGATGCAATCTGCTAAAATAAATTAAGATGAAATACAGATGTTAACAGGACAGGTTGACAATGACATGATAAGTAGGATGCATTTCCCCTCTGCTTTAAATATATGCTTCTGAGCTGATCACCCTAGATCCTCTTCACAGTTGGAGAGAAGTACCTTGTGGCATGTTTTGTCTGTTTGGTACAGCTGCTTTAAAATGAACAATAACTTTCTAAGTGCCAGTTTGTGTCTTTTGTCTGTAAAAGAAACACAGGTGATTAGTTGGGATGCCATCATGTAATTATTTTCAGATAATTTCAGTTTGTGTGTGACTTTCTGAACATTTAAGCTCCTAAGAGTTGTGATTTTGAAGTAGGAATATCTGTTAATTAAAGCCCCAAACCAACAAACTAGGCAACCAAATTGCAAACACATATGAATGTGGAGAGAGCAGCAAAGGCATGTCATAAAGGTCCTCCAAAAGCTAAAAAGATGATGATTTAAATTTGGGGTTGTGTCTTTAAATCTAATGGTTGGATTAGCTGAAGTAGAAAAGACCTCACTTAGGTGTGGAAGCACCCCCCCCCCATAATAATCTGGCTGCATTTACAAATAAATAAATAAATTCCCCTTCCCTACATTGATTGGAAAGTTGTTTCAAAGCCTTGGGGCTCGGGTGGTTGGAAGCATTCTGTAATTTTCAAAATAAATCTGTTCTCCAAGTTCATACTTACTTGCCTTTTTGGCAATATTGTTTTGCTGAGAGATCCCTTTTCTCTCCTTGGTATTTATTTTGGCATATTTCAGAAGCAATATTGTTCACTTTCAGCCTTCATTTTGCCAAGAAAAATAAGCCAAGCTGGCTGTCTGCTCAGAAGCTAAACAATGTGGGGGAAGGTAGTCTTTAACCATTTCTGCACCTGCTTTACTCTGCATGTCTATTCAAACATGAGCAGGCAGAGTTTTCTGTCTCCCTCTCCCAGATAACTCCTCTGCAGTCTTTGGGACCCTGCTGGATTACGAGTTTCCTGGGGACCATGGAAGACCATGACTGCTAAGAATTAGATATTAGGGTACCTGTCCAATGATACTTCTCTTGAGGAAGGATGTCGTGGCTGTGGTCACATGAACAAATGGAGGAGCAGAATAGACCAGGAGTGTTGACAATAAAAATTACGAATTAAAAAATGTCTGTTGAAAATAAGGATGGGTTTAAAACTGGTTTAGAGTAACTGTTCCTGTGTCAGGAAAGATCTGTTTTATTTGGATAACTGAGTATGGTTGCAAGTTTGTGTAACTAAAAAAGCCGATTAAGTGCTTTAAACAGATGTATGCGCTGATATTTGCAATGCCACTCATTTTTGATCCTGTTTGAGAGGTTAGTGTTTCTGTAAATTGAATATATATGCAGCCTGGTGTTGCTGAATTGTTTGCTAATAATAGAACATAAAATGGGTGTGGGGAGAGGGATGACAAGGAGCAACCTCCAAGAGACATTACCCAATTCTGCATCCTCGTGCTGGTGTGTGGAAGGTGCGTGTCGCAGTGCCTGCTGCCCCAGGAAACAGAGCTTCTGGGGTGAATTTTTCTTTCTGTGGTAATGCCATCTTTCATTTTATTAATGCAAATTAATCGTTTGTAGTCATCTCCCTTCAGATGTCTACTGTTTCTAATTTACATGAAAACATTTAGCCGTAAGCTTCCCAGTTATGTGCCACCTTGATAGTTACTCAGGTACCTGAGTAAGATCCTTGTCAGGTCTTTGAACTGAGTCATAGGTAACTATGAACTTTGCAGTTTCTTTAACAAAAAGATTGTGTGCTAAACTTTTTATTAATGCTTCCTTTTGTGTTTTAGTGACATATGTTATGGTGACTTGCTATATTGTGTTAATACTGTATGTTCTTCCTAAGGGATTTTTAATTTTAATGTGCTCTACATAATACAAGAACAACAACTATGATAATAAAAAACATTGAAAGCAGTTGAATAAATGGTTGTTCTTTACAGTGAGATTTGTTTACATGAGTATTTCCTGAGTGAGGCTTTGAACTGCAAGATCTTGTGTACTTTCCTGGTCCTCTCCTTGCCCTTCTCCCATCGTCCTGCACCCAGGATGCTCCTCAGGCTCCCTGGAGGGGCTGTGATGCTTCCTCCCACCTTATCCCTATGTCCTCTGTTAATCTGTTTCTGATAAAGCTTGATCTGAAGCTGTAGCTTGATGCATACGTTAAACACAATATGCTAACATCATGGCTTAAAGAAGAAAAAACACCTCACCATCTCCATGCTACCCCTGTTCTTGCACAAGTGTTGGTTTAGCAATCTGGCTGGTATCTTAGTTGCTTCCTGCCCCCTCACCCCACCCAAGACAAAAAGAAAGAGGAAAAAAAAAAAGTCTTTGGGCTAATTCTGTCATCAACCACTTGCTGTGGCTGGAAGGAAGGGCAGTGTGAACATGGCTTCATGGAGGGTGGGACCATGGGGGGTTTCTCCCTGTGGGATACTGGCTTTGCTGTTTTGAACAGGCCAGCTTACAGGCATTGCGTCCACTTGTGTCTTCTGCTGATGGGGACCTTGGAGAGGGAAGCAGAGCAATGGGCTGTGTAGATGGGCATCTCTGTAGGCATCCCATTTTGATCCACTTCCCTCCTAAAACCCACTAAATGCTTGAATGGTTAAGGCATGGATTTTTCCACTGAGTTTTGCTTGATTCCATGTCTCACTGATGACTTCAAATGTGGTGTGAATACTGAGGTTTATTGTAGCTTGCTTTCTCTAGCAAAAAAGGTAAATAGGAAATGTCTAGAGAACGAGGCATTGCTTTCTGTTTGCGTGTGGTGACCGCCAGCTGAGTGCTCACTCTGCCACAGAGGCTGCTGGTTTGCACCAATGATTTAATTTCTCTGTCTCTGTTCCACAAAGCAAAGCATGGCTCTTTCTGTAGTTATGCTGGGAGCCCTAAACTCTCACTGCTCCAGAATAGCTTTTCTGTACCCAAAAAGCTTGTGTGCATATGACTGTGGGGTGGGAGTGGTGTGCTGCTGGGGACTCTGGAACAAGCGGAAATATGAGGCAAAAACTGTGTATTTCTTTTCTTCTTTTTTTTGCTTGTGGTCTTCCAGCATAGTTCTTCATTTTTTGATGCAAGCCTAGTTAAAAGTAAATACTTGCTTTTGTTTTGGACATTTTAGTTGAAACTCTCCTCTCCCTTAATTCCTAAAAAGTTGATTTTTGTGGGCAATGTACATGTCTTGCCAGGAACTGTAATATACACAGGAGATAATATTACAATATTACTGTAACATTACAATAGGTGACTATTTACTGTCTTAAAACATAAA